AAGAGTGTCCTTAAATGAACATCACACGGGATGAACTTTAAACAAATTAACTGGTCAGGATTGTATTCCTTTGAACCTGATGGCATGCAGTTATGGTTCATTACTAGGCATATGCCAGTTGTTGTTTTATTCTAGATCCCAGAATTCTGCACTCTTGTATATTATTAAAATACTACAACGATTAAAGCTTGGTTTCAAACAGTTGCATTTCATAGACATCGTTGTTCAACTGTAAATTGTGGTCACTTGGAGAGGCTGAGCTGAAAAGTGTCATAGCCTCAAATAGGCCAAGTTCCAGCCTAGGTGGCTATTAGAAAACGTATTGGCCCTAGTACTTGCAGGGACTTACAGTGACCCTAACAGGGCTTTTGAGGTAAGTGAGATATTTAAAGTGTGGATTTACTAGTCCCACTGCCTCCCCACCCCTCGTGAGTTTCCATGGCCATGCAGGGATTCAGAGTCAGGTCTCCTGAGTCCTTCTATCCACTACAGACGACACCACACTGGGTATCTATGAAGTTTTTGCACCAAGGTAGTTTTAGATACTTATAGCACCATCTAGTGGTATTGTGTTTTAACTTTGCATGATGTGTAAATATTTCTTTTCAGTCAGTATTTTATTGAACAGGTTTTCATTGATGAGCACCCTACATACTCTTACATACTATTATAATAATGTATTATTAAAACTTGGTTTCAAGCTATCAATGTAATTTAAATTCAGTTTAATTCACAATTCAATTTAAAGTCTATATATAGTATGATCTTATTTTATTAAAATCATTTTTTTCAGGATGAAAATATGATCAACTTCATCAAGGGTGGTCTCAAAATCAGGACAAGTTACCAAATATACAAGTATGTTGTAACATTTGGTGTGTAGAATTGTTGCTATATATTTCAGCAAATTGGGGCAGTATCAAGTATGCATGAACAACGTTCAGCACCAGAGGGAAAGTATACGCTCCTTCCATTTATACTGGGAGGGGATTGTCATTTTCCCCATCTCCGCCCACTGGGTCACCCAAAACATTGCTATCTATGAGCATATTATTTCTGGCATAAGGTTTACATGGGAATAAGGCTGAAAAGCTTCTTCCTCTTGTACACTTTGTCATGTTGATTTAGGTCTTAGTGTTTTGGTACTGAAAATATGAGAAAATGATCTCAGGTTTTTTTTCCATACTCTTATTTCTCAAAAAATGGTCAAGGGGTGGATACCAACTGTTAACAAGGTGGTAACGGGAGAAGGCATAAGGAGTAGAGTCTTAATCCCTGAAAAGGAAGGAAAGGGGGCATAAATAATGGTGAAGAATGCAGTGTGCTTATACATGCTTAGGTCTAATAAACTACGTATATGATTGCGCACACTTACTTAGGAATAAGTCCCATTATACTCAGCGGCACTTGTTTCTCAGTAGAAATGCATAGGATTGCAGTTGCCTGCTACACTTAGAAGATGCTAGACTAGGTGACTTCAGACACTATGCACTTCAAACATGTATGTCTTTTATATCTCTGTCTTTTCTGCTTTATGCAAAGCTGTTAAAGTACTGTAGGTGTTGTACTAGTTGACCATAGAAGGAAATATGTGAAATTACTGCTTCTATAAGAGAGAGGGTATTTTATTGCATTTCTAAAATGAAAGCATTCTAGAGGCTCACTTCCTTTCATAGATTATATGTAAACTAGCATATTCAGAATTCAGAATCAGAGAATGTCAGAATGGTAAGTGTCATATGAGCATTGACATGGCAGTGTCAATGCTGTGCTTTCTTTCATCAGTAAGCTTCTCTGACATTGGGGGCACGTAGCCACCTCTTCGTTTTTATTCAAGAAATCAGCACAAGCATGAAAAGCGCTAGATAATCAATCCACATCCTCTGAACAAAAATGCTTTTCCAGAGTCTAGATTAAACCAAAGCAAGAAAGTATCATTAGATGATGAACTAAGTGTCTGAAGTAATCACAATGAATCTATAGTGCTGTAGGTGGAGTTTTCTACATTTCATAAAATGATCTCTATAGTATTAATGGTGGTTGTTGGTATCCCACTTAACATAAGTTTTTTTAAAATCAAAAGAGAATGTCACCAAGTTCTCCAAATGACACAAGACAGCAAAAGCAAGAATGAACTGTACCACCAATTTGAAGGAGGTGTACAACTGGGAATAGGAGCATTCAATTTGGTATGAGTTTTAAACTTTCAAACTTTAATCTAGCTTTTGATGCCCTGATTCCTTGTCAAATCATGTTCTCTGATTAAAAACTCAAATGTAATTGTAGTACATTGTAATAATACACAATATGTGTTGCAACTTCATTGTTCCAAAGTTAACTCTAGTTAATTCTAGTATTTTTATGTTCGTTCAGTCATTTCTGCATTTTACTTGTATTCTGACCATCTAGTGGCGGGCCATTCATTTTGTCTATTACGATGAAATGTTCTTGGTGTTATAAACATATTACCTCTTTTAAAATTTTTTTGATGCTGAGTGTTTTATTTTAAAAATGATGGAATTCTTGTTCTTTCTTTGTTATAGATGCTATCCCTTTTACCAGGAAGAATCCTCCGGCTTCTAGAATTTATTGGTTTTTCAGGCAACAGGGTAATATATTTTGTTTACATCATCATTAGTCTTGTATGCCTCATAAACTAAGAGTGATATGACAGTGATCAGCTGTTTAGCATTGACATAGTGCATCTCGGTGGTCCCCATATATTATTGGTTAAGCAGCTCTGATTTTGTGGATTGAGAAAATACAGAAGTATTTTGAAACATTTTTTCAAGTTTGAAATAATCTAAAATTGTTAAAATATTCAAGTGTGATCTCTGATTTTGCTGTTTTGATAATCAGTGTTAATTCTACAGACCTGGGATATACATTATAAGTCCTATTAGTTCTAGGACAACTTTTAATGCCATATGAACCATTAGTTGTGAAAATGCATATATTTTTTAACAATTTTAATCTATTTTTAATGTAACATATTTTTTTTTTATCTCTGTGTTAACTAGAAATGGAACTTTTGGAATTCTAGGACTTGCAGTCCCAGACATCATCTAGGATTCCCCAGGCTGACTTCTGGGACTGGCAAAGAGAAACCAGTGCCATTGTCTCCATTATATGGGTATTAGTTTGGCAGGGGAGGGAGAATGCTCTCTCAGTCCCACTGCTTGTGAACCATGCCAGTGCTCCATGGGAAGATTAGTCTCACTACCTGCTGCTACAAGGAAAGCTTCTTACTGGACTACTCATGGAGCAATGGGGTGACTCCTAGGAAGCAGTAGTTCAACTACACCTGGGAAAATGTTGGAAAGCATTACAACTGGTATCATATTGTAAGCAGGGGATTTTCAGGTTTTTTCACTACAGCTAGCAGAATTTACCAGGAATTCCCCAACCAGAGTACTGGCATTTGTAGCAGGAAATCCAAGTCCTTGGAAGAGTTTCAGTTTACATACTGAGGCCCAAAGTATTCTTCTCCACTGCCATTGCAAAAGAAGAAAGTGAATGAATGGGACTTGGCAGTCTCCACAGGAAATACAAGGGGTTGTGGGATGGGTAGGGTTTTTTGTTGTTGTTGTTTTTGGAGCCACCATGTACACAGCTTGATAAACAATAAGCAAAGAGACTCTGAATCTTGCAGCCCCTTGTAGTTCTCATGGAGGTCCCACCCACTCTCTCCCTCTGCAGTGGCTTCAGAGAATAACATGCTTGGCCTCAGATATGTATGCTGAAACTCCTCTGAAAAGACTCCTCCCCATCCTTTTGCTATATGTGCCAGAAAACTGACTGGGGGAATTCCTGGTGAATTGTGGTAGCTGCAGTGAAAAAAAAAACTGAAAATCCCATCCCTAGTGTATAGGTTCCATACTTCAGTGGTTGCATTTAAGTCAGTTGAAATTTCTGAATCATCTTTAAAGGTGGGGGCATTAGATAGAGCAGTGGTCAGCAGATGTTCTTGGACTACAACTCCCAACTATGCTGGTCAGGATTTCTGGAAGTTGTAGTTTAAGAACATCTAGGGACCCAAGGTTAGGAACCATTGAAATAGAGCATTAGAGTATTTTAGCCTAAATGTTGCAAGTATGTAAGTAACTGAAAGAGGATCCATCCTTTCAAAAGACGGCTCTTGGAGGGGAACAAGATGAAATAATTTTGTTTTAAATATGTTTGTGTATTATATCAGATTAGCGCTATTTAATTAAACTAGAATAGCAGACATGAACAATATTTGCCGATAAGACAAATCTGTTCCTACTGTAGAGTGCTGTGCAGCAACAGTGTTCTCCCTTAGCAAATATATAGTGACACACCATGACAATGGAGATGTCAACAGGGATTCAAATAAGGAGAAAAAACCAACACACTGGATTACGTTCTCATCCTACCAACAAAAGCAGACCTTGAAGGGATCTGTTCAGAGCACATCTTCCAGCAGAAGAGGAAGGAGAAGTAAACTTTGCAGATCTTCCCTCCTCTGCAGTTTTCGATACCATCTTCCCTGTAGTTACGGAGGATTCCCAGACACTTCAGAGCAAGTGTTTTGGGAAACCTAGAGGAATGCAGGAGGGGAAATCAGCCTGAATGTTGCTAATGTATGAGTAACTAAATGACAATCCATCATCAGTAGGGTTAACCCATAGAATCAAAAGCCTATTGTGATCAGGAGCCCTTTTGTATACAGAACACTTATCTAAAGCTGATTCAAGCCTTTATGGGACATACTTTTGTCTTTGAAGGCATTCCTTGTGTCTGCATCACTGCCCCTAAAATATTCTGAAACCATAATGACCATCTTCATTTCTATTATTTCTGTTAACTCCTTTCTTTTGTCTTCTTTTCCATATAACTTGAACTAGCAGAAATAAACTTGTATTACTAGAAAAGAATACCGTGTCTTATCTGTTGTTCTGGTTGCTGACAGGAACTAGGACTCCAGCAGTTACGAGAAGGAGCTTCTGGTGCCACTTTGCGGGCCATTCTGTGTACTTTCACCCTACTGCTCTATCACACTTACGTTTCATTAATCCTTGGTAAGAATGGGAAACAAATTTCTGGCTAAAATATACATGAATGCTGTATATCTCTAGCATGATGTTCTAATGGTATATTTGTTGTTTTTGCTGTTTCAATGCCCTGCATTTTTCTCAGTTCTACCATGTGCAACATTTGAAGTGGATTTGAGCTCCTAGATTGGTTAGCCTTAATGGTAATACTGATCAACTGCTTAGAAGAAATTTGATGAGGGAAGGAGAGGTATGCTCCAATGAGGGCAGAGAACATATTTTCTCATGGCTAGATTCCAATATGTTAGCTGTATTTTGGTAGGAGCCTGCCTTTATCATTCCTTGGAGATAAGTGATAACTCTCTCTGTGTGAATGTTTGTCTCAGCTGTTTGGAAATTTTATGTCCATGTTTGTAGTCCTCTGTGGTTTGAGTTTCTACAGGGAAAATGTGAAGTTCTACATTTAGGGAGGAAATATCAGATGCATATTTATAGGATAGGTGATTACTGGAACTGAAGCAATGTGTTCCAATTGCAAGAAAGGAGATTTTAACTGAACACAGGGAAGAACTTCCAAAAGAAGTTGCTAAAAAGGGAATGGACCACCAAACAAGTGGTGGACTGTCTACCACCATAGGAAATTTTTAAACAAAGGACGGAGGGTCATCTGTCCGGGTTGTTTAGCTATGAATTTCTTGTGGTTGGACTTAGTGACTCTTGCAGTCCCATCCAGCTCTGCAGTTCTATGATTCTAGGAAAGCTTATACAGGGAGGATTTATTTTTTAAAACTAAGTAATTTGGGAATTATGCTTCCTTTCCAGTTCATATACTTACTACACTACGTATGTGTGCTTTATAGTTTTATTGTGCTTCATTAAAGAACATTTTTCTCTCAGACATGAACTAGATTGATTTTCTAGTAATGTTGCACAATTATGAGTCTGTACAGATTAAACTACCAAGTATCAACTCTTCTGCATTGTGAATACTGAAAGATTTTGTTACCTTTATAGGAACAGGGGATGCCAATATCTTAGAAGCAGAAACACTCCTTCAGCCTTACTTGCAGAAGTTTCCAAAGGTTGGGATTTCTTTTTCTCTTTATGAAGTTTGGGTTTTTGTTGTTCCTATTAGAATTGTTGTAATTTGCCACTCCCCCCTTTTTCTTTCTTTTTTTAAGGGTGCCATCATTCTGTTTTATGGTGCAAGAATAGATGTATTGAAAGGAAATTTTGAAAAGGTAATATTTCTCCTTTTTACAATAAAATCAAAGATACTGCTTTAACTGTGCTTTTAATTTTCTGAGCTTTTTATAGCTGTGTTGACTGGGTTATCCTTGTTTCACTGAATATGGGACCCTATTACCTCTGACTTGACTGAACTCATAACATGCAGGTAATTTTTTTATTTACCTGTATTTATTTTAAATTATCTTTAAGGTATTTTACTCTACTCTTCAGCCCAGAAAGTTTCTAAAGCAGGTTAGCGAAGATAAATAAAGTAAAATAACAAATGAGACATGCACTGCCAAAACAGTCCTCAAAGGGACCTTTAATTATTGTAACAGTTTGCTAATCATTGTTAATATATTTCATGAAGATGGACAGTGTCTTGAAAGCCCATTTAGTTCAGTCCTTTTATAGGCTTACCTGGGAGGGGAACCAGTGGGCGAATATGTTATCTATCAGATCTTTTTCTAAATAAATCTAGTAACTTTTGTTTAAATTTAATCTTCTCTCTAGTTTATTGCTCTAGAGAACAGAACAATAAGGTGAGATTAAAAGGTCACAGGAACAATGTTGCTGTTTATTCTGCTGACAGAGCTTCCCACATACTGAACAGTTTGAGTCAAAATTTACAACAGTGGGAAGGAGGAGGAGTATAGAGGAAAATACTAGAGTGGCTCCCAACCTTTGGTAACCTAGATGTTCTTGGACTGCAGTTCCTAGAAGACTTCACCACTAGCTGTGCGGCCAGGATTCCTGGGAGTTGCAGTCCAAGAACACCTGGATTACCTAAGGTTGGGAACCAGTGCTCTGAAGACGTAGAGGCAATTAAGTAAAGGCCCATCAGCCATCTGTTAGGGATTGCTTTTATCTTAGGTGTGTGGGGAAGAGGAAGAGCCACTGCAAGATACTGTTTGCTTTGAATTCCATATTTAACCATTTATACGAGACAAATAGTCTACTGGCTGGCTGGTCCTCCAGTTGAGTAGCTTTGTAATATCTATAATTCTCTTTATAACAATGAACATACCATAATTTGAATGAGGGACTTTGTTCAAACAGAATATAATAAACACTTCTGTATATAATACTGAATTCCAGGCTGAGGTAACATTCCAGGAATGCATTGTAGCTCAGCAAGAATGGAAACAGATCCATCACCTCTGCTACTGGGAGCTGATGTGGTCGTACTCCTTTCAGCAGAACTGGCTTCAGGCATATCGGTATGCAGATCTGCTTTGCAAAGAAAGCAGGTGGTCAAAGGTAAATGGATAATCAGATACACCACTTCATAGTTACAGATAATGTGAACCGTCTAAACACAATCCCTTTGTGAGTTCTACCACTACTATTTTACTGATAAAGTTTTGTATTATAGTTGAAACATTCAGATGGCCCAGCCCAAGGATGGGCCAGGTGTAATTTGTAGATCACATGCAGTTGCCAGTATAGGCCCCCTGAGCCTCCCAAATCTCTTCTACCACTCCACCCCTGGGAAAAAAATTATGTCCCCACAGTGACTAATCCATACTCTTCACATGTAATTTCATATCACAAACTTTTCCAGCATAAAAATGCACTGGGGAGAGTGAAATTACTTGGAGAAAGCAAATGCCCCCTTCTTATATGGGCATGATTTTTTCTTGTGACTCATTTTTTGTTCAGAGGTCAGAAGGATTGGGAGGATGTGACCCTCCCCTACAAGGTCCAAGGGAGGGCAGAAATGATCCCTTACCCTACTCTCAGAAACTGCCCATCCTTGTTTTCATAGTTCTTAGTTTTAATATGCATAATCTGGTTAAATGAAGGAAATAAACTCAAACCATACTGAAGCAAGTAGGACTTCATTTGAATGTCCGTTAAAGTTGTATGAACATCTCTCATGTAAATTTCAACTGCAGTACATTTTATTAAATAGTTTCTTATTATATGTGTGACTAAAACCTGGATTGGATCAGCTACAGAATTTGCAATATTATTTTCATCTGTCCATTACAGTGGGGTCTTGACTTGAGAACTTAATCCGTATTGGAAGGCGGTTCTCAAGTCAAATAGTCTGTAAGTCAAATCTCCATTGACCTACAGTGCATTGAAAACTGATTAATCCTGTAACAGGCCGTTTTTGTTCCATTTTGGTTTTTTTCTGGTCTGTAAGTCAAATCTCAGTCTGCAAGTCAAACCTAAATTTTGCAGCCAGAGAAGTCTGTAACTCAAAAAGTCTGTAAGTCAAGCCGTCTGTAAGTCAAGGGTCCACTGTATATTGACCTATTCAGTCCATATCCACAGTATTTTGCTTAATATAGTCTAATTATTCATGTAGTCTCCCCATAGGGGACCCAAGGCAACTCACAGCATCTCAGGCAACAGTTTTAAAAACATGGTATAAATATCACATTTTTTAAAAAAAAACACATATTAAGATTTTTTTAGTTTTAAAACAATTTAAAAACATCTAAAAATCTGTAAGTTAAAAGCCAGCATTCTTGAGATAACTTACTGCTTAAAGGCCTACCTAAAGAGGAAGGTCTTTGTCTGCCCATGGGAGGATAAGAGGGAGGGAGCCAACCCTGCTTCTTAGAGCAGTGCATTCTAGAGCCTGGGAGCAGCTCACCAATGAGCTTGGGAAGGTGCTTGAAGGGCCCTCCGCAGGATCTTAAAAGCCCGAGAAGGCTCATATGGGGTGATACCAGAAATTTTAAAAGGGAAATTCTAGGTATGAGCTCACAGTGCTAGTTTTAAAATATGTTATGGTTGAGACATTTATCAGTGAATATTTGACAAAAACTGTTTGGAAATTAAAATGTATAGTCAACCACAAATCATGTTGGCTTTGCAGTATTAGGCTTTTTAAAAAGAATAAAGGAATCACTTCTCCTACATTTACAATAATAGGTTGGTGATATAGTAAATCCATTAATCAATGTGGTCTTATAAGAAGCACTACAGCACTTGAATATTTTGTTTTGTTTTGCATAGGCTATATATATGTTTCAGAAAGCTGCCATTTTGTGTATGCTTCCAGAGGCTGAGGTGAAAACAACAGGTGAAGACATTGTAGCATTGTTTAGGTATGTTTTAACGTGTGCTTGAAGTTGGACTTATGTATCACTGCCACAAACTTTCTGCTCTGTGAGGGAGTTTGACTGTCTGCCTTACACAATTCTTGTTTATTTGATTTTTGAGCTCCTCCTCTGGAAAGTTTGCTGTGTAGGGTATTCTGACACTAGTTCCCAAGTAAAAGTAGGAATTCTTTTATGAAGAAAGTATCTACAAAGTAGGAGCTAGATACTAGTATGTTCTTTTTCTGTATAAATGTATCTGCACACATTCGTCTGCCACCCATTTCTCTTCAACACAGTAACATGAATATCTTGGCATATAGACATATTATTTCATGTTAGCATTTGCTGTGGCTAAGCATCATTGAAAGCTTCCTGAGCCAGCTGTAAGTCCTAGGAAACAGCTAGATTAGAAATCAGTGTAGTCAAAGCTGGCTATTAAATATGATAAAACCATTTCCTGAGAATGCAAGATTTCCGATTCCTTCTCTCCCCCACGTGCCAGCAAAAGTCTCTCCCCCCCCCCCGAAATACATTCTAGAAGACAGAAATTTGTTTAGGGAATCTTAGCCAATGAGGAATCCCGGCTAGTGCTTCGGTTTACTTGGAATCTGGGATCAGCAACAAGGATCTAAGCTTCTATGCCATTTGTCCACATACATGTTAATTTCTAAAGGCAAATTATGTAAATAAAGGCTGACTACACTGGCTAGCACTTTGTTCCTGGGTTTAGTTCAACGTGTTTGACCTACAAAGCCCTCTGCATCTTGGACTAGATCTTCTCTTGTGTATAGCACAATATTAAGATAACAATCACTGGAAGTCCTTCTTTCTGTCTTGCTAATATCTGATACATACCTGGTAGGAACATGGCCTCTCAGCATCTATGCCGGCTTCCTTAGCCTTCTTGTTATTTTACCACCATGCAAAGGCTTTTACCATCAGGTTCAGAGAAGCAAATTTTGTCAGCCTTGTGACAGAGGGAGAAAGAAAAAGGCTTCACCCTATGAATCCCAAGGTTTTTCAAGCTTCTCTACAGCTTCTGCTTTTGTTTTTGTTTTTTTAAAAATTGATTGCATTTGTTAATTTGAACCATAGTGGGACATGTATGAGTCTGATAGGAAGTGTATCGGATATAAGCACAATGGCCAAATTTTATTGCTTAGCGTAATAAACTGCACTAGAATTGACCCATTAAATCAATAGGGATTTAGTAAATCAACCATTGGTTCTGTTGATTATCATATAGGCCCAGTCTAACTCTAACTTGCTTTAGCATAATAAGTTACAGTTAGAGGAGTCCCATTTGAATCAATAGAAATTACAAAGTAGTTTACTCACTAAATATCCAGAGGTTGTAGATTAGCGTAAGCGAATAATTGAGAGCCATAAAGCATTTGTGAAATAATCCTGGGCTTAAAAACTTGTATTGCTGATGGTACATGTTTACCCCCATCAGTATGGAAAAGTCTTCTTAGTGCCCCAGTATTTTTCTGGGCACTCATTGCTGCATGGTTTACATGAGTAAAAAGGATCCTGAAGAATGAAAAACTATGCCAAGGTATTTGTAGCATGCTACTTGCTCTACAGGGTGTCTATTTAAAGACCATTTATCTATTGATTCAATGGGCCTACTCTAGTGTGATTTATTACACTAATCAACTGGATTTTGGTCAACAGGTGTGAGACAAGTTTCTGGGCATATCACTGAAATGTGACCGATAATGTGCTATCCGTGTACTCTTGGAGGTGTTGTTTACTTTGCACACAATCAAACAGGTATTCCGTGATTCGGTGCACTGCCTCCTCTGGCAAGTGCCCACTCAAAAGCAGCATCCTGGTAATCCTGCCGTGTCTCCGGGCACTGCCTCTGAATGGGCGGCTGCTGAAAGGGGTGGGGTGCTGAACCACAGAACCACCTGTTTGGCCTTCCACTGAACTGGCACAAACCACTTAACCTGTGGTTCATGCCCATCTCTCCAGGCAAATAAAGCAAGTAACTATTCATCCACCTGTTTTATTCCTGGGAACTACCATTCTTTATGATTTCCATTGCTAGATTATCCTTTCACCTATGCAGTGAATTTGGCTCATCTCTTCTTGCAGTGTTTTTAACCACTCTTATTCTATCCTTTGATTCACTGTTTTTTGCCTCCTCTCTGGCAGGTTTTCAGGATCAAATTATGCTTTTTATCCACCAAAAAAAGAATGTTAGGGCACTATTTTATGCTTATTGGGTGAAAATCCAATGTTAGTCCCAACTAGAGAAGACTCACTGAAATCATATGTTACTTCTGACTTAAAAGTTCCATTCATTTCAGCTAACCTGCTTTAGTTGGAAGCAGTTCTTCCATATTAAATTAACTTTAATTTGGCATATTCCTATAGTATTTCAAAATATCAGTTATGTTACTATACATGACTCCTTAAAGCAATTTTTGCAAGTGGTGTTATACTACATAAAACAGTTGTGTATAAAATCCAAGTTTCATATTTCTCAATCTACAGACTTTAGTGTCTGTGTATCTTGGCTGCTTTTGTAAGTACGTCTTAAGAACATAAGAAAAGATAACTTGAAGAGCAAATTGCCATACTGTTGTCCAAATTTTCTAATGTTTTATTGCTCTTTTATTTAAAACAGAAGCAGCACACGTTTATTGTCAGCACTGTAGAAATTCAGGAAATGTCCACTATTTTTCTTCTTGTAGGCAAGTAGAAGGCCTAAAACAAAGAATCGCAGGGAAGTCTATCCCAACAGAAAAGTTTGCTGTAAGAAAAGCGCGACGCTATGGAGGTCTTCAGCCTGTGAAGCTAATAGTACCTGCTCTGGTATTTACATCTGACTTACTTCAATCATCTTTAGAGTGCTCGAGTAAATATGTTCTTGTTTGTATGTTTTGCTATGAATAACATAGGACAAACACATTTCTGCAGCTTTGCCAAGCAAGTTTCAGCTATGTAATTTTGATTTGATTTTTAATTATTTATTTATCAGGTTTTGTATGACTCATTCGCAGAAATTAAGTAGAAAGTTGCAGCTAGAGTAGGCTAACTGAATCAGTGGAGGTTTGGTGAATCAGCTCTTCCGTAAATGGCACTGATTCAATAAGCCTACTCTAGTTGCAACTTGCCTACTGGATTTCAGCCTCTATGTTTAGTAATATCTTTTTCAATTTTTTATTAAACAAAAGGTATTATAGACAATGGAGAGATTAAAATAGAAGGAACCATCCAATCAGACTCCATGTAATACTGTGTAAGATAGATTTAGCTGTGTTCAATTGTGTACAAAATGGCTGTTTCCATGCTTAAAAGTTATAATCATTTCCTTCCCAGGTTTATTCTGGGTAGATACTGAAAGTAACAGCTGTGTAAGAGCTCCACAAAAAAGCTACAAAGCACGCGATCATAAATACTATGCTGAAACTTGAAGGGCTCACATTATGTAAAAATGTAGTATGTATAAAAACTAAAATTATATATAAAATGTAGTATGAAGTATTGCATGAAAACAGGATAAAGAACGGAACAGTTCAATTTATTGTTGTTTTATGTGCCACCAATTCACTTCTAATTTACCATCATCTTAACAAGGGTTTTTGAGGTATGTGAAATGTTTAAGAAGTGGTTTGTCACTGTAACCCCCCAGTAAGTTTCCATGGATGAATAAGGATTGAAGTCAGATTGGACACTGTATCCATTACTCCACACTGGCCGCCAGTAGCTGAAGATATATAGTATATAATGGTATAATATAGTGGTCCCCAACCCTTTTCAGTCCGCGAACCATTTGGGGGGTGCCAGCTCCGTGCACGTCACCCTTCTGAGTGCAGCTCGCCTTCCAGTGCCTCCTGTTGAAGGCTCACTATCGCCCTTGCAGAGGCGGCTCAGCAGCCCTCGCTTCCTCCTTTTCCGGCAGGGAAGCATCCCCCGCCGCCGGAGCCCCGCTTCCCTCGCTGACAGACTGTCCGGGCAGGGAGGGGGACGCGCCTATCTTGGTCCCGAGATGCAGCCCTTGTTGCTTTTATCCTGCTTCCCTGTGATGGATTGAGATTCCATCAAGTCCACAGTCTCCTAACATCACATTCACATAGTGGTAGCTGAACTTACAAACTTAATCCGTATTGGAATGGTATTCATAAATTGAAATGTTCGTAAGTCAAAGCACCATTTCACATTGAAATGCATGGGAATAGGATTAATCCATTCCAGCATAAAAAAAAAATAAAAATAAAAACGGAGCAAGTCCCACACTAGGACTGCCAAAAAAATATCCAAAAACAAGACAACATAGCACAGAAACATAAACCCCCCAGTCCAAACCCACCCTCCAAAACCCACCCAGAACAGTTTTTTAAAAAGGAAAAAGAAGCACCTTACCAGTCCGAAGCCTCCGAAGCCTCCAGGGCTTCCACTGGTGCTGTGACCGCCACCGACGAGAGGCTTGAGCCTGGTGGGGGTGCTTCAGCTGCTCGCCTGCCAGCTCGTCTACCACTTGCTCTGCGCCATCCTCTGTGGGCCGATGGCGAGAAATTCAAATGGCAGAGGGCGGCGAGCAGGAAGCGAGCAGCCAAAGAAACCCAGCCAACTCAAGCCTCCCAGCATTGGGGAACCGCTGCCTCCACTGCGGCTGGGGGTGAGTGGCCAAAGAAACACGGCCAGCTCAAGCTTCCTGGCACTGGGCGATTGCTGCTTCCGCCGTGGCCAGGGGCAAGCGGCTGAAGGGCCAGCTCAAGCCTCCTGGCGCTGGGCTACTGCTGTCTCCACTGCCCCCACTGCTGCCACCAGAGCACCCAGGAGGCTCAAGCCTCCTGGCTCTGGGTCACCTCCACCCCTGTTGCCCCCACCAGAGCACCCAGGAGGCTCAAGTGAAAGAGCTGCAAAGAACCAGCCTCTTCTCCACAAAAGTTAGTAAATTTAAATTTCCCGCCCTTTTCCCCTGCCTTTTTCGGTTCATACGTCGAAGCTCCGTTCCCAAGTCGATGCAAAATTTTGCAAGCCGAACTGTTTGTAAGTCGAAATGTTCGTAGGTAGGGCTGTTTGCAAGTCGTACCATAGTATAAAGCTGTAACTTAGCAAAATAAGCCTTTCCTATAAAGCAACATAAAAGAGGAAGAGGAAGTGGAATCCTCAAATGCTGTTCCTGGTATAGAGAAAGGGCAGGACATCTGATGCTTTCAACTACTGAACAGATTGCAATTTGGTTATCTTAAACTCTTACAGAAACATCTGGGCTAGGGAAGAACGTGGCATATACCTTGGTGGGTTGATTATATTTTAGGCTGCCTACAGGAGCTGAAATAGAAAAGTTGTCCCAAAAAGTTTTCTCAAGAATCATTAGGCAAGTTTTAAGACTTACAGGTTAGCTTCTTACTGGTACCAGACAACTTTATAACTAATTTATAACTTTTATATAACATGTGATATTGAGTACTAAAGGTTTTTATGTAACAACTTTTTGTACGTAATTCATCACAGGCAAGGTTAGGCTTTAAACACAGACTGTTCAACTTGGATGCACTGTTCAAACAATGGTTGCTTACTATGCAGCTTCAAAACTGTTTACTGTGTGGGTAGTGGCATCTTTTGGTATACAACTTTATATTGTTTTAGAGTGGATATCTTTTGTATAGGTTCTGTAGATTTCCCTTGAGGAAGAGTTTGACAAACATACTGGGAACTCATTTTATTGACCGGGTGGCTGGCGTGAAGGAAGCGGCAGTTCTTTCCAACCTGACACACTCAACGGTGAACAGCAGCAGACACTGCTCCCGTCCCATGGCGGAGGCAGGGCCAGTGATGCCCCTCGAAGGACAGCTGCGGCACTGCCGGATCCAGAGTCGCTCCGCTTCCTTCACACCATGCATGCCAGTGCAAGAAGGCCAGCGCAACCCTCACCTGCCACAGCCTCCCATGCAGGTGATCCAAGCCAAGCAGCCTTTCTGCCAGCCGTCACCACCCATCCCCCATCGCGCCCTTGTCCCACAGCATCCTCCACAGAAGGAGACTTTGTGACGGGCTGCCTCTGGCCCCACCGCCGGCCGTGGAAAGGGGGCTCTGGCAGGCTCGAGGCGCCTCTCCCACCCAGCAGGGAGGCTTGCACAGCTTGCGTGCACACTCTCCAGCCGAGCGCTCCGTCTCTCCCCCTCTGCATCCCTCCCCGCTTTCCCCCACCATACACATACACACACGCTCCTTCCGCTAGCCTTCCCAGATCTCCTCAGTGAATCTGCTCTTACTGATGGTGGCGGCGCTGGTGTAGAGCGGCAGCAGCAGCTGCTGCTAGGAAACACAGTGACCCTTGTGTGGTGCCGACATCTGGGATCCTCCTCCACTTGACAACCTCCAACACAAACATGACCCGGCGCTAAACCCCCTCCCCAGAATCCTCTTCCTCGGCAGGGCCTCCCCCGCTCCTCTCTTCTCTTCCTCGCAACTCTCCGCCGCGCCACAACCTGATTCCGCACAGACAAGACACACAAACCCGGCAGCGCCCCCGCCCCTGAACCGTCTCTCTCTCTCTCAGTCTCTCCCAGCTCAGACACGCCAAAAAGGAGGCTACGGAAACCCAGGGGGCGGCTAAACCCCACGGGGGGGGG